TGCCTCTTCTGTCCCCTGCCACGCTTCTCCAGTTCCCTCCACCCTTTCGCCCCCCCCCTACCTTGGTACAGTCCAATACAGTTCCAATCTTTACTCATCCTCCCCCTACCATTCCCAATATTGTCTCCCATACGACATCTCTGAATTCCGAAACACTTGAAGCAATCTCTGAATATATTGCAGAGACCAAACCATCAATGGACACTGATCCACCTTCCGCTCTTTCTCTCTCCTCTGCTCCATCTGCGCAACTCCTTTCTTCACAGCGCACCGTTCCTTCGCTGCTTGAACGTTTTCCACTGCCTCCGCATGTGGACTTTTCTAACCCTTCAGTCCGTAGGAACCCTTACCTGCGGATTTCAAGTATCTTTATCATTGCCAATCATGGCCTATTTACAGTGGAATATACGCGGCCTCAGGGTAATCGGGGTGAGCTTCAGATGTTACTCTCCCAGTTTGCCCCTGTTGGTGTTTGCTTACAGGAACCAAAATTACACTCTGCTGTTATTTCTCACATCTCAGGCTATAATTTATTGTATTCTTCAGATCCTTTTCCTGATGGGACCTTTAATGAAAGTGCCCTTCTTCTACGCACTGATATTCCGTACCATCAGCTATTTGTTCATACTTCGCTGCATTACACAGCAGCCCGTATCCACTTACATAGGTGGTATACGCTCTGTTCTTTATATCTCTCTCCTTCTCGGGCATTATCTATTCCGGATTTTGCCTTCCTTGTTTCGTCATTACCGCCACCGATTCTGTTACTTGGTGATTTTAATGCCCACCATTTCCTCTGGGGGGGGTCTCACTGTGATTCCCGTGGAATTCAGTTAGAGGCTTTTCTTGCCACCCACCCCCTCCATGTTTTAAATACAGGTACTCACACCCATTTTGATCCTCGGACTCATACTCTCTCTTGCATCGAATCTCATCATCTGCTCTTCCTCCGCCGCATTAGACTTCACTTGTCTGTTCTCCCAGACTTACAGACAGTGATCATTTCCCATCATCTTACTTTTTCCCCTTCATATTCGCCACCCCCTCTCGCACCCCCACGCTGACAATTAATTAATCGGGCAAATTGGAACCTTACTCACACCTAACTGGTTTTTAAAGAGGTTCATCTTCGTCCTCCATCGATGACTTTTACACCACTTCGTCGTCCTTCCCGTTTTCACACCACAGCTTCTCATTCTATACCCCAAACTTCGGGCAGGCATTCCTAGAAATGCGTTCCTTGGTGGTCTCCTACTTGTGCTCGTGCAGTTTACGTTTGAAACGCGCTACAATTGGGCATGTTACCGGTACAATAGAACAAGAAGCGACTCCTTGAATTTTAAACAGAAGCGAGCGATCGCGTCCGACTTGTCACCCGTGATGCAAAAAAACGCTTTTGCTGGCGAGATATGTCTCCACTATCACCACTGCTTCCTCCTGTGAGTGCAGTCTGGAAAAAGTAAAGGAAAACTGCGTGGTAAATGATTCCTCCTGACCCGGGCTCTGTTCTGCGGGTTGCCGGTGTTGATATAGAAACCCACTAGATTGTTGCAAGGAAATTGGTCAATCAACTGTCCGTATTTCTCAGGGACTCCTCCATCTATGCGCCCTCCTTTCATTCCTCAAAGTCTGCCAGAGAGTTAGCACCCTTGACTTTTCTTCTCTCAGAGAAGAACAGTATAATGTGCCTTTACACTTCAAGAACTGGAGGCCAACACTCTCAGCTTGTCGATCATCGGCAGCTGGGCCCGACGACATTCATATACGTAGCTACAACATTTACAACAGTCAGCCCTTTGCACTCCTATAACGCCTTTACAATCTTATTTGGTCACAAGGAGTTCTCCACAGCTGTGGAAATCCGCCATTGTTTCCTCCCTTTCTGCAAACCTAGGCACACGTGACATGAACCTCACTATTGTCCCCATTGCTCTACCATGCAGTTGCAAAGTTAATGGAACGCCTATTAAAATTAGACGTTTAGTGTGGTATAAGAGAGACACAACAGTCTCTCCACTCGTCAATATGGCTTTCTGTCAGGGACGTTCTAGCCAAGACCCCTTCCTGACGCTTGGATAACGTAGTTCGTAATGCCCTTTGCGAATAACCACTCTCAGTTTTATTGCCATATTTTTTGACCTTGATAAGGCTATGACACAACTTGGGAGGTATATATTATTAGCCCCAAGCCACGTCCTTAGGCCTTCGAGGCAAACTACCATACCTTCTTAAAGAACTTTTTAACGGACTGCATTTCCTGTTCGGGTTAATATGTGCTCTCCCCAGCTTTATCCATGCTGAAGGTGTCCCCAGGGATGTGTTTCTTAGCACAACACTTTTTCTCCATGCCTAATAATGATTTGGCCTCTAGTTCTTCTCCATCATATAATTGGTCTTCACAGTCTAAATGTTGATGACTTCACAATTGCCTGTGTCAGGCGCTGACATGACAACCTCATAAACAGTTTCTCTCCAACATGCAGTCGAACCGTGTTTCCAATTGGGCCCACCACACGTGGGTTTAAATTTTCCAGCACTAAAACCCACCAAATCACTTTCACTAGATCTCTGTCATCTCCGATCCACCTTTGCACCTCTATGGCTCCCACGTAGCCCTGAACGTGAACAGTCAATTTCTGGCCACCTCTTTGATCGCGGTTATCCTGGAAACCTCACATTCTCTCTGAAGGCAACTTGTCACAGCCGGCTGAACTTCTAACCCTTGCTCATCTTTCATGGGGAGCTGTACGTCCATCCCTCCTTCGGGCCTACAATTCCACCCTTATTTAATCGAAACTTGATTATGGGTGACCAAGAACTAATCAGGCGGCATCTCTGCTACTACTCTCTCTAGCCTTAACCCCATTCGTCACCAAGGATTACGTTTATGCTTTGGTGCTTTCGCTCTTTCCCTGTCAAGAGCCTCTATGCAGAAGCGAAACGTTCCATCCTTATCCGATCGCCTGATGGCCCATTGCCTGCTGCTCACTATGTACGCCTCTCCATGATCTCCGCAATCCTTCCATTATAGAATGGTCAACTGATATTAGTAGACATTCTTTATTTGTTCGCCGCCCATTTTACATCCGTCCCCTTCTCCTCTTCGCCTTCATTCGCTCTTGATCTTCCTTCCAAAACTACCACCTTTCTATGTAAAGTTTAGCATCTCACTATTTCCCACCCCCCTGGGAGTTCAGCCTGTTCGAGTCTGTTCTTTCTCCCTCCCTTGCTCGATAAGCCAACTGTCCTATACGGTCGCTTCCCGCTCTCTTTTCCATGACCACATCACTCTCATTCTCATGCATTGCTGTGAATACACAGATGGCTCTAGTCTTCTGACGCGTAGGATTCGCAGCAGTTGTTTCCGTACAGCGTCGAACAAGGGCATTTACTATCTTTCGGCTATATTTTACTGCTGAATTAATGCCAACCTTACAGCACTTATTCCGTATTGCCATCTAAGTCCTTGTCATCATTTGTGGTTTGTCTCAGACTCTTCCCGTTATGCATTACAGGAGCTATACAAAAATTTGGTACAACCCCCACCCCTTAGTCCTCCGTAATCCAACTTTGGCTACGCCGCATCTTTTATACCCAAGCAAAAAGATAATTGTTTTTTTTTGTTGGGTCCCTGGTCAGTTGACGTACAGGGCAATGACAAGGCCAGACACTGCTGAGTGCGGTCCCAGCAGTACATGACCTACCAGTTTCTTATAGAGGTATTCCATTTATGGACTAATTTACTGCAATATCTTCCTCCCTTCACACTCCGTTGGCAAACAAACATTGGTTCTACTATGCTCGGACAACAAACCCTTCAATCTATTAAACCGAGTAAGGTTACGGCCGTCATCTTATCAACAGCGTCGAGGTTTGGGAGACTACTCTCTCCCTCTTCGCCTTGGCCATACTCGTCTTTCCTCTTGGATATCTCATGGATAGGTGTCATGCCCCTCTCTGTGAGAATTGACAAGCTCCATTATCATTCAGCCACATTCTGTGGGACTCTGCCCCTTATGAACGAGCATGCAGAATTTAACCCTCTGACCGGTCGTCTACTCGCTCCGCTGCTCTCTCTTTACTCCCATCTCGCTGATGGACACCCACCTTTCCCATCCCGACTCTCTCAAAGACATTTTGACAACACGACTACTTCACAATTCTGATACCTTCAGCCCTTTCTACTTCAATCTCTTGCTACCCTCTACCCCCCCTACTAATCCCCTGCCCGCTGTTTTCTGAACCTAACTGAATCATTCCCCCCCCTCCCTTCAGCCATCCAATTCCCTGCTTCCTTCCAACCCTTCAGCGCTGTATAGCCTTGTGGCTTAGCGCTTCTTTTGAATTTAAAAAAAAAAATAATAAAAAAAATAATAATAATAATATTATAATATGTACCAAAATGTTTGTTTTAATCAGTATAATGATCCTCTTAATTCTAGAACACAGACACTGCGACTTTCACTTTTTCTAATTCACAGTTATATTGAGGACAACAACCCAACCCTCCTTGTTTGTTGCTGACACTAAGATCTCCAGAGTTTCCTGAAGCATCTGTGGAAGTTTCATTACCAACCAACTGATACTCAATTTATACCCCTTTGCTATTTACAGTAACCACATCAACAACTTTGAAATGTGTTGTTAATGAACTGTAAAAAAAAGTGTATTTATTGCTCAGATATTTAAGGAAAATCTTTAAAAACATGAGTGATCTCAAAGAGAAATATATAAACATAGCCTCTTTATATGTTAAAAATGTTTTTAATACACACAAAAAGTGTTCATTTAGAAAGTAAACCATATCTGTGTTAATGAGAGCTCTTGCAGGTAACTATATGAGTATTCATTATATTATTATTATCATTATTATTGTATTGCATTCTTGGGGAGTGCTAACCATATAAGGGGACAGAACACTTTCTTAATCAGCTTTGATCTTCTACCATTTATAGGCTTTATTAAAACACCACATGTAACATCTGACCTGGAGGAAGGGAAGGCAGTCAGGTTCAGTCCAAGGAAGAGAAGGTCAGGTCTAATACTATGGATCATGTGCCCCTCATTGACCTCCAGGAACCTCTCTTGAAAGAATATCAGTGTTCAGAATGTCTGAAATGTTTTACAAATAAAAGTGATCTTGAAAGACACATGAGAGTGCATACAGGAGTTAAGCCTTATCAGTGTTTAGAGTGTCTGAAATGTTTAGCCAAAAAAGTAATCTTGTAGAACACAAGAAAATTCATACAGGAGAAAAGCCTTATCAGTGTTTAGATTGTCTGAAATGTTTCAGTAAAGAAAGTTATCTTGTAAAGCACAAGAAAATTCATACAGGAGAAAAGCCTTTTCAGTGTTCAGAGTGTCTGAAATGTTTTAGTCAAAAAAGTTATCTTGTTATTCATGAGAACATTCATACAGGAGAGAAACCTTATCAGTGTTTGGAGTGTCTAAAACACTTTAGCCAAAAAAGTAATCTTGTAGAACATGAGAAAATCCATAAAGGAGAGAAGCCTTATCAATGTTCAGAATGTTTAAAATGTTTCAGCAATAAAAGTTATCTTGTAAAGCATGAAGAAAATCATATAGGCAATAAACCTTATCAGTGTTCAGAATGTGTAAAATGTTTTGTCTCTAAAAGTTGTCTTGAAGGACACTTGAGAATTCATACAGGAGATAAACCATTTCAGTGTTCAGAGTGTCTGAAAGGTTTTAGCAAGAAAAGTGGTCTTATAAGACATGTGAAAATTCATACAGGAGAGAAACCTTATCAATGTTCAGAGTGTACAAAATGTTTTATCACTAAAAGTTATCTTGAAGGACATACAAGAATTCATACAGGACAGAAACCCTATAAGTGTTCAGAGTGTCTGAAATGTTTCTGCACTAAGAGTGAACTTGTTAAGCATAAGAAAATTCATACAGGAGAGAAACCCTATAGTGTTCAGAGTGTCTGAAGAATTTTGGCAATAAAAGTGATCTTGTTAAGCACAAGAAAATTCATACAGGAGAGAAGCCTTATAAGTGTTCTGAATGTTTGAAATGTTTCAGTAATAAAAGTGATCTTATATAAACATGAGAAAATTCATACAGGAGAGAAGCCTTATCAGTGTTCAGAATGTTTGAAATGTTTCGGTAGTAAAATAAATCTTGAAGGACACATAAGAATTCATACAGGAGAAAAACCGTATCAGTGTTCTGAGTGTTTGAAAAGTTTTCGTAGTAAAAGTAATCTTTTAAGACATAAGAAAAATTCATACTGGAAAAAAGCCTTATCAGTGTTCAGAGTGTCTGAAATGTTTCAAGCCAAAGAAGTAAACTTGTAGATCACGAGAAAATTCATACTGGAGAGAAACCTATCAGTGTTCAGAATGTTTGAAATGTTTAGCACTAAAAGTCATCTTGTAATACACATGAAGTTTATACAGAGAGAAGCTTATTTTAGTTTTTTTTCCCCAAAAAACAAGA